TTACTCTTTTTGGGCTGGCTCTTATTTGCAACAGTCCCTCCACCCTTTCTATCCTGTATATAAACCAGCCTGATGGATTTACAGTCTACTGCTTCTGATGAAGCAGGATTGCCAGCCCTCCAAGTAGATGGGGGATTCCCTGTCTCTAGCTCCCTGGAGTTAAAAAGTTAAAAAAACAGTTATCAGACCAACAGTGTGGTGTCACTTCTGGGAAAACCCTGGGCATTAGTGGAGTGGGAAAACCCAGAAGTGAAGTCAGTCCTCTCTAGAAATTGCTAGAAACTCTATGGTTTCACTTTAGTTTCTTGCAGTTCCTAGGACACATGACATCACTTCTGGATTTTCTCCGGAAGTGACATCACACTGTCACTGATGGTCACTCCCCCATGGCCCTGCCCCCCTAACCTATCACTAGTTGCCAGGCTGAGAGGAAGTGAGCTCTGACTCATGAAAGCTTATGCTAGCATCCATTGTGCCACTGTACTCTTGTTTCAAACCCTGGGCATTATTTTACCTTACATTGAAGATTCCAGCATAAGGACTTCCTCCGACATATGTGGCTCCTCTGTTGGAGGAAAGCTCCTTAGGCTGGGGAAAGGCTTCAAACTTGGCTTAGTGGAGTGGTAAGGCAGAGGATTCAATAAAGAAGGCTGATGGTCTTGGGCTTTGACCAGAAGGACTGACTACAGATGCTGTGACACAAATATAGGGTGGAATCTTATGATTCTGTTCTGCTAATGGCAGAACTTTCCTCCAGCACTTTCTACTGATGCAGAAGAGTCTCTTGCACTCATGAAAGCCTTATGGTGCCAAAGGAAAGCTGGATGGCAGGGAAGAGTACTGCTGCCCTGTGACTTTGAATCTTGGGTTGCCAACTGAGCAGAGAGAAAAAGCCTGCCTTTAACAAGTCCGAGACTGACAAATCAGAAAGTGAATATTTTCATGGCATGTGGCTGAAATGATCATGTAACTAGTTAGACCAGACCTGGAGAAAGGACTAGAGGAGCTCCTTCAAAAGGTGGCAACCCTTTAGATGCAGGAACCACCCACTCCAGGGTCACAAGGCAGCAGAACAGGGAACAGTGATAGCAGCAGGCAGAGCTGATAATGAAAGCAAACACTAGGAGGCTGCAATGGGAAAGGAGGCTGCAATGGGAAAGGGATAAAGAAAGCCTTCTCTGTAGCATTGCCAACAGCCCTGGAGAAAAACATCCTGACCCTTTAGCAGAGGCTTAATGTGTGGAAATGGGCAACTGAAACGTTTCATGGTAGGGAAGTAAATTAATAATGCCTCCTCAGAAACAACAGACTAGCCCAATCTCATCAAATCTCAGAAGTTAAGCAGGGTTGGTCCTGGTCAGTATTTAGATGGGAGACCACCAAGGAAGCCCAGGGTTGCTATGCAGAGGCAGGCAATAGCAAATCATCTCTGAACATCTGTTGCCTTGAAAACCTTGCAGGCTCACCATTAGTTGGCTGTGACTTGACCGGGGGGGGTGGGTGGGGGGGAGGACTTCTTTTTCTCCAAACAGTTGACAACCCTATCTGAGGCTTTTCCCTTGTGATCCTTTCCTGCCCATACAGCCTGCATGATTTTTATCTTCTGTTTTGATGTATGCTCTCTCTCTGTCCTCCCCTGTTAGGGCTGTGCCTGGAGTCACAGAGTTCAGAAGGAAGAACAAGTCAGCAGCCTGTGGCTCCAGGTGGCCCGTGAACATAGTCTGCAGCAAGAAGCAAGTGATGATGCTTCGCTCCCTGTCATAAAAGGCTTCATCCTGGTCAGTAGGTAGCTTTAGAGGCAGGGACATGCTTCCTTATGCAACTGACTTCCATAAAGAGTGAGGGGAAATCCAAGTAGCAGCAGAGAGCTAGGAAGGTGAAATTCAGTGGAGGTGGAGGGACTATTCCATGCATCCCGAATTTTCAGAAACGTTCCTTGTTAAACTAAAATTCAAAAGGTGGTAGAACACAGGGCAGATTGAACAGAGAGACCAATAAAAGAATGGAACAGGGGAAACCCACTTGTCGTCTGGCATTAGTGACTAAGATTTGTTTTAAAATTCAGGCTGACACCTGACAGGTGTTCAGGAGGCGGTAAACAACCTGGTTATCAGCCCACAAGAAGATAGATTCAAGTGCATGACAGAGCTGCAAAATTTTAGCCTTGTCTGTGATCAATATCTCCAAAGAGTACAAGAGATACCTCCTACGAAAGGAAGTTTTGTTTGGTTATCTTGACTGTAAGCCTACAGGCAGAGCTTTGTCTTATTTGAATCTCTTTGGGTGCAGTGCCGAGCGTTTGGTAGAATAGTAAACAATGCCCTGATGAATGATAGTCTGACAATCCAAGGAAAGTTGCCTCTCTTGCTTGTGCCAAATGTCATAAGGCTATGACTTCATTATCTTGTTTTGTAAAAACAGAAATGGCTACTGGAATCTCAGGTTTCATTTTTAAAACATTTCCAAGTTCCTAGCCCTCAAGAGAACAACAACAAGCCATGTGCTGAATGTAGTGAGTGGGGTTTGCAATGGCCATAGATCAAAGGTTTTAATGCCCTGAAAAGCCTTTAGTACGTCCTAAGAGAAGCATAACAATTCTACCATAACATGGTAGAATTCAGCTTTTCTCCATGCAGAGTATACACCAAACTTTCTTTGTTCCTCAGGCTGCAATCCTAAATACACTTTCCCAAGAGTGAGCCTCATTGAATAACATGGGTCTTACTTCCAAGGAATGTTCCCTCTAAGTTGTGGAGTCTTGTGAGCAAAAATTCTACTCTGTGAGCTACTGGCATTAAAGTTGTGAGCAAGCAATTTAGCTACTGTATAAATTAGTTTGCTCTGGAGCCATCCTTCCTGAGCTAAGACAGAAATCTGTGAGCTGGAGGCTAAAAAACTGTGAGCTACCTCACACTAACTCAGCTTAGAGGGAACACTGCATCCAAGTATACCTCCTTAGGATCACTCCCTCAGTTATCCAGACCTGCTTGGTTTTAAAGCACAGTCTACTAGTCAGTTTGCACAACCCCCCAAGACTGGATAAAATAATGGGAAGTGGTACAATTTATGTACGCAAGCAAAATGCAAAGCTTCTGACACTGGGTTGGCTGTAACAGACTGAGCATTTGCACAGTCAGAAGTGGCCCTCTTTCCTTAAGTTCCTGTCTCTCACTGGGCAGGATAGCCAACTTTTGCTCTGGTCTCAGAAGTTTTTAACAGCAGTTTTGACCTACCGCAATTAGCAAGCCATAATGTTTGCCTAGGGTCACCAGATGTAAAATTTTGTCCTAGAGACTCAGGTTTGGGGGGCCACTCTTAGGGAAACAGCTTGATGTCAAAGGCCATCAGCTAGCCTATTCATGTGATGGCTTCTTCTAAGATTTATGTTTATGTTAAGGTTGCCAGGAGGCCTGGAGGAAAATATCCAGACCCCTTTATGTCTGATGATGCATAGGTGAAGCTTTTAATGGCATGTAGGTAAATAGCAGCCCCTGGTAAATAACAGGCCATGAAACTTCTATTAAAGGGACAGGACATTTTCCCCCTCTAGACCGTTGTCAGCACTGTGTGTGCACTGTGAGAGATTCTTAGTACAACAGGCATGCCCCATAAGTAACTAAGTTGAAGCTTAGTTGAACCATGTGAACTAAGTTGAACCATGTGTAGGGTTCGAATAAGCCCGTGGCTTTCTCTTTAGTACCAGTAGGAGCCAAAGCAATTAGTGGGGATTCTTATTTAGCTCCCTGCCATAAAAACCTTCAGCTGATGACTTTTAAACATCAAACCTTGCTTGCAGGCACAGTAGCAAGGTTGATTCCAGGTTTTGTGAGAATGGGCTTGATGCATCCTGAGGGACCTAGGATTGCTAAATCCAGAGTCAGAAATTCCCGGAGATTTGAGGACAGTGCCTTGGGAGAGTGGAGTCTGGGGAGTGGGGATCAGCAGGTATGTGAGGGCAAGGAGTTTCCCCTCTGAAGCTGCCATTTCCTCCAGAGGAACCGATCTCTGTAGTCTGGCAGCCCTTGTCTTAAGGGTTGTGTTTTTGTTCTCTCTCTCTCTCTCTGTGCAGCTTTCTTTCTTGGTTCTTTAATAATAAAGCACATCCATTTCTCTCTTTCTTAAAGCAACAACCCTCCTGTGGACTTTATTCTAAAAGCAGCCTCCTCTTTTGTGAGTGCACAGCCAGCTCTGAGTCCTACTCATATGCTTAATAAACAGATTGATCTCTAACAATTCATAATAGATCTAGTTCAGCCTTAACCTTGTGGTTATGAAATCTTCACTGTCTAATTTCTGCCCATCAAACCTGTTCGAAGGACAGGACTGAGGTGGGCAGGCTCCCCCTCCCACAGTCCCGCCCTGTTAGTAATCCAGACTGAGTGACAATGAGGATGTTGCCTAATTTATGCTAATTTTTTCCCTCTGACTCCTTAAAGTCTGTTGCTTCCCTCCCTCCTTGTCATCACCAAATTCCAAATGCCCCCAACCCAATCATACACCCTGTTTACAGGTCAGATGTAGATGAGAGGAAGTGCTGGGAGGTTGTTCCTTCTTGGGCCCCTTTTCTTTGTTTCAGGAAGTATTTACCAGCATGCTGGGACTTGGACCAAATGCTCCCCCACCCACCCACACGCACACAAAACACTTCCACATAGCCCGCATTTCTACACAATGCAGTTTTATTAAAGACACCAGAAATGTTAGAACTCTCAAGAAGGTGGAAGCAATATACAAAGACCATTTGAACTTTACATACCACCAGCATAGGGAGAGAAAAAAAAGCTCTCATCTGCATGCACAAACCGAAGGAGTGTGTAAAGAAATAAACATGACAGACATAAGCCCACTCAGGGACTCATTCACTTTAAGTATAAAACACATTTGGGGGATGCTTCTTCTTCTTTTTTAAAATCCTTCTTACAGTGAAATCCTAAGGAGACTTACTCCAGGCTCCATTGAAATCAATGGGCTTAGACTGGAGAAACTCTTTAGGATTGCACTGTTAGTTATTGCAAGTAACAGACAAAATTGCTCCATAAAGTGGGAAGTAGGGGACACGGATGACTTGTCACCCCAATAAAAAATGCTTCAGAAACTATTGACTCCAGTTCTGATAATACACATAATAGAGAACTCAGTCTGTAAACTGAGGAAGTAAATACTGGAGAGAATGTGGTTTATGGTTGTCTAATCCCAGAAAAGCCATGGGAAAGGAGCAAATACCCAAAGCCAAATGATAGTGCTGAAGATTATATGACTAGTGCATCTCTATCCAATGTAATATGGTTTGATGCATCATTGCCCAGGGTGTTTGCACGCACCCCCATTTGCATCTCTGGTCCTGCACAGCTGCAGGGACTCATTGTCGCACTAGAACCAAAGAAATGTACATATGCAGCAACGGCAATAATGATTCTGTCACGGCATCTTCGATGTCCTTAAAGATGATCTTCTGTTGTGGCTTCCTTTGAGAAAAGTCTTTTGGAATATTAAAGGGACTTCCTTCAAGCTCCCTAAAATTCCAGCCCTGATCAGAAAGGAATGCTTGTTTCCCCTCCCCCAGTACAAGTCATTATAGTTATACAATTGCTGTTTGGATTTGGTAACAAAAGGCAGGAACGACTGGAACATTTTCACTGGTTTATTTGTAACTGCCTTTTCCCAAAGAATCTTAGGAACTATAATTCAGTGAAGGTGAGCCTACAGGTCTTCAGCACTAAATTCTCAACACCATCGCCAAACTACAATTCCCAGGATTCTTTGAGGAAGCTATCACTGTGAAACTGGCATAAAACTAACAATAGGTGACTAGTGTAGATAGGCATTCAGTGTGTGCGTGAGTGAAATGTTTGGTAGAGAGAATGAAAGCCTCTAGGTGAATTGCTTTGAAATACACTGATCCAACATGAAAATTATTTTAGACTTCTTTATGTTCCACAGCTGCATTCCAGAGGAAACTTTTAGGTTCATTCAGTTGGGTGAAACTCTAGTTCAGTCAAATGAGAGTTGCCTCCCCCACCCCCCGACAGGGCTATGGTACCTTTAAAAAGACTTTCCCCATCCCTGTATTATGATTTCAGCAGGGAAGGCTTTAACATTTTGGCTAAATTCCCTGTAAACTAAGACCACAGAGGAACTGGAATTACCATGCATCATTGTAGAATTGGCAAGGGGAAACAGGTATTTATGTGCAGCCTGACAGAATGTAGTCTAAGAGAGAAAGAGGTAGAGATACTAGATTATCATTCAGTAACAGGCCTCCATATCCTTTTCCTGATGTACTATGCAAGCAACTTTCACACCCAAAGGGGGGCCTTCACATGTCACATAAGGACTTCACAGACTGATCTGTTCTCGGACTAGGTCCATTTTGTGTGGTAAACCCATATTGAGATGTTAGGGGTGATTGTCAGTCTACAGACTGCAAAATCTTTTTGTTGTTGTTATTGCCTTTCACGATGACACGGGTTTAGCCATAAAAAGAACAAAGAGTCCTGGGGAACCCAAAAATCAACAGATTTGCTGTGAACTTTTGTGAAAAACAGCTTACCTCATCACCTACTTGAATCAGATAGTGAAACAGTAATACACCTGAGATGTAGTTTATTTCCAGCCACCCTGCACCCTTGAAGAAATATAGTTTAAAACAGGCTAAGATTGGGTTACTGTTTTAAAATGTATTTACTAGCAACATGGTTTTATACTCTTATGTTTCTTTAACTGCAATTAAGTACCCATCTCATCCTGTTTTATTGGGCAGTGTAGGGGGTAGTCCTTGTCACAAAATGGGACCATCCAGTTCTGAGGGAAAAGGTACTAAGAACTTATAGAAAAAGGTATTATGTGACAAACTAAGTGACCATTAACTGTAGTTCTATACAGCAAGAAAAGCAATTAAATGAAAGAAAGCTGTTCTATAACCAACATTCATTCCATTCATTACAATATCTAAGAGTAATCTGGCTGACTCCTCTGCGGATAATGAAAGCCATACAATGGGGTCACCCATGGACTAGGTAGGAATTACTACTTACTGGTGGGGGGATACAGGGGGAAAATGACTTTGTAAACTAACCAAAATAAAAAGAAATTATAAAAACCAGATGGAGCAGGACAGAAATGGCCCAGAAGGGTGGAACGTGTAGAATGGCAGAGTGTCAGCTAAAGAAAAAAATGGGGCAGGGGAGAGTGAATGAACAAGAATACTTAACCTCTGGGAGCTTTGAGAATCTTCAGTGGGGAGAGGCGGGGGTCAAAACTATCCCTCCCCACCTCACGATTCCTCATGGCCACCAGTTTGTAAAGCTCTAGAAGCAGGTTGCACAAATTACCAGAGTGCAATTCAAAAGCAGTTGAGGATGACATAGCAGAATGATAGAAAACGGTGGCATATTTGGCATTTCTTTCTTTTATTTGTGGTTGAATTAGAATGCTTGTGTGGAATAGCTACCAGTAAGGACACATGTATTATGTATTCTGGGAGGGAGCACTGTTGTTTCTTGAAGCAATGAATGATGATTTAAAAAAAAAAAACTTAACTGCTTATTCTCTTGCTTGATGTGGACGATATAAACTTCACACTTGAACTTCCCCCACCATAGCCATATCCACTGCCACCACTTAGGCTGCCCCCACTGCTAAGTCGGCTGATTCCTCCTCCTCCAACACTGATTCGGCTATGTCCACCGCCGCCGCCACCTCCCCCACCAAGACTCAATCCGCTTCCCCCTCCAGTGCCATATCCGCTTCCTCCTCCAGCGCCGTATCCGCTTCCCCCTCCGACTCCATATCCACTTCCGACTCCATATCCACTTCCTCCTCCTCCGACTCCATATCCGCATCCCCCTCCAGCGCCGTATCCACCACCAGTAGAACTGGAACTACTGATCACAGCTGTTGGGATAAAAAACAGTATTAGAGATTTTACATTGTGGTTCCACCATGTGTGGCGTGTTGCATTATTAACTAAATTAACATATTATCAAAGGGTCTGTAGAAATAAATTTCAATGCTCAGATACGTATTGAGATTTTACATTGTGGTTCCACCATGTGTGGCATGTTGCATTATTAACTGAATTAACATATTATCAAAGAGTCTTTAGAAATAATTTTCAGTGTTCAGATACGTATTGAATTCTGGGAACTGTTTATAGCAGAAGTGTCAATCTCATTTGTTATGAGGGCCGGATCTGACATAAATGAGACCTTGTTGTGCCGGGCCATTTCTGTGTCATAAAAAGTAATGCCAGGTAGCAGAGATATAAACTTTATAAAGGACACAAATATAGAGGGTTTTTTTTACTTAAAATAAAAACATGCTTAAAACATCAGCACTCTTGCAATATTTTGTTTATTTAACAGTGTCCGATAACTGACACCTCTTGCTCTGAATTATTGCATCAAAATATCTGTGCTGTTGCAATCTTGAGTATGCTGTTCAGGTGTGTATCTGTAAGCTGCAAACCTACGATGACGCAGCAGCAGCAGAACTGGAAGAAGAAGAAGCAGAAGACAGCCAGTTCCACTGCAGGGCTGAGAGAAGCCCTCCTGGGGCCTGATATGGCCCCCGGGCCGCATGTTTGACACCCCTGGTTTATAGTATTTTGGAAAAACGAGATAAGAGAGCAGGTATCTCCTTGTGCATTTTACAAGTTATTATAAATCTTCTTAGTTTTTTTCTGTAATTGAGTATAAAATCTGTCATGATATATATGTTATGTCATATTTCAAGAAAAAAAAACTAATTGAAAAAGCCCGCTTGCGGGGAGGGCGGGGTATAAATCAAAATAATATATAAATAAATAATAAAAAAGATTTTATGTTGTCCAGCAAGCAAAACAAAAAACCCAAACAAAAAACCCTAGCCAATCAATTAGTTTAATACTAGTTTAATAATTAGTTTAAATATACTTACAGATGTTGACAGGAGTCGGGCACTCTCCAGACATCCTAAGAAGAGGGGGGGAAACACAACTCACTGAAATAAACAACTAACAACAAGCAACCATTCTGCCCTCTTTAGTATAGTTATTGGCTTAACTAATAGGGGAAGTTCCAGCTAGAATCACATGCAACCCCAAGAAAATTTGGAAAATATGGACTGTAAGTAACTAGCGAAGTAAAAATGCAATTGGTTAAGAAGCCAGCTAAATCTCTGAAGGTTCATTTCAGTAAACATACAAGCTCTTAGTATCCTGGGTATTTGCTTTGATTTGTGTTGAATTTTTGGCTTGTATCTGGCTTCAGCTGTATAACCCTGACTGTACTGCATATGCTGTATTGTATATGTATTTAATTAATTAATTTAATTTTCCAAATCCCACTTTATCTCCTTAGATTCAAGGCAGCTAGCAATGCAACAACAGGTTGCAAGGACACAGGACACCATAACAGTCCATGAGCAAAAGCAAGGTCATTTAAATATGCGCAGATTAAAAATGCAGCTGAATCTACTCAAACAATTTACACTCTACCAAATGCCCTTCAAAATAAAACTGTCTTACATGCAAGTGAAGGTGCCCGCTGCACCCACTATGGTAGGCCATTCCAGAGGACTGTGCCTACCACAGAATAAGCCTATGACCTAACTGTTGCCATATGAACAATCCTCAAAGAATGCACCATAAGGAGAAGGCTGTCTGAAAATCATAGCAGGGACTTGGGAGTATACTGCAACATGCAGTTTGTTAGCTTGAGGATCCTAGTCTGTGAAGGGCTTTAAGTGTTACACTGAATGTCAGAAACATCATGACTCTCAGACTTTCCATAAGAATACTGAAAATTTCAGTCTCCTGAGTTTCCAAAAAGACATGCAATGTTCTCCAATTTTTGGAAATATGTACATATTGACATAGTTAGAGGACAGTCAACATTTACCAATTGTATCTGTGTCTTTACAGAGATTCAAACACACACACACACACACACAAGACCCAAGAGTCCATTCTTATGTATCTGTCCTTGGACAATAATCATGCTGAGTTCAGTAGGATTTACTGCCAAAAAAGTATGCCTGGGAATGCAGCCCCAAACTGTCAGCTCTACACTGTAAAAGCTATATCTCCCGACATTCTAATATATATAGATAGATGATAGATAGATGATAGATAGATGATAGATAGATGATGGATGGATGGATGGATGGATGGATAGGTAGATAGGTAGGTAGGTAGATAGGTAGATAGGTAGGTAGGTAGGTAGGTAGGTAGATGGATGGATGGATAGATGGATGGATGGATAGATGGATGGATAGATGGATGGATAGATGGATGGATGGATAGATGGATAGATGGATAGATGGATAGATGGATAGATGGATGGATAGATGGATAGATGGATAGATGATAGATGGATAGATGATAGATGGATGGATAGATGGATGGATAGATGGATGGATAGATGGATGGATAGATGGATAGATAGATGATGGATGGATAGATAGATGATGGATAGATAGATAGATGGATGGATGGATGGATGGATGGATGGATGGATAGATAGATAGATGATAGATAGATAGATAGATAGATAGATGATAGATAGATGATTGTGCTTAGACAAATATATAATGTCCTGGCTGAGGTTCTGAACATGGAATTAGGAAGCCTCTTCTTCATAAAGGAACTTAGCCTATGGCTCTTGATTTGCCTCCATGATCACATCACCCCCAGTAGCAGAAGTGGCTAAGCAAAGAGACAAAGCAAACACCTAAGTCGCATGACTCATGGGGCCACGGCAATATCTCATTAAGTGGGCTAATGTTTCCTTGAGGTGCATGGCCTGAGCCACTTTTGACCTGCACTAGTATTCCACTGCCTAGGAGGCCCCTAGTTCACCTTTGAGGATCATCTCAGGAGGCTTAAACAAACATGATGAAGACTGTGGATAACTGTCTGTCTGTAAAATGCACATGGCATGTATGTGAAGCCATGATTTGGATCAGAACTGTGCAAGGAGGGGAGAGAGGATTTAAACTCTTCAACCTCTGAGCTTCATGAGCTACTGTTAACCTTTTAAAAGGTGGGGGAGTGTCCTTTTCACTTCTTAGCCAAAAGGCTGAGAACCCTAGCCTTCCATTTCATTTGAGAATGGTCTGTAATTTTAAATTTGTTGTTACTCTGTTGCCTATTGCAAATTCTGGAGACTACAGGGATTGGAATTTGGTCTGTATTTTATCTTAAACGCTATATTTTATGTAGTTTTGCCTTTTATATTGTCTAAAAGTTTATGAGCTGTACAGATCCACCTGTTAAGAACTGGAAATTAACTGCACCCTTTTAAAAGCCCCCCTCCCTTTATATCTTTAAACCATGGCCTCAATCCAAACATGACTTCACATCCATACAACTTGTCTTTTGCAAACGGTTGCTCTGTTGGAGAACCTTCATCATGTCTACTATTGTCCTAAAACTAGTTTACCCGTTTCTGGCTTTAGCCTGTCATCTCTAGCACCTCTGTCCATGGTACTGATGCTATTCCAGATTCTTGGCTCTAGTACCATTTCCTTAGTCTTGGTTCCTACCAGTACATATCTGAATCTACCTAAACTCTTGAATGATATTATCTGTGGTTCTTCCTCCTGTACTGGGAAGTGACATCCTGGCTGAAAGGGACAAACAGCCCCATTCAAGACATCAAGGCCTCCACATCGTAGGGGTCTTGTGCACCCAGCTCCATGTTCAACCAAACCTGGCTGGTTGCTCTGCACCTACCGGCTCTCCTCTCCCTCCAGCAGTGTCCTATAGGTGGCAATCTCAATATCCAGAGCCAACTTCACATTCATCAGCTCCTGATAATCACGCAGTAGGCGAGCCAGCTCATCCTTGCGGGTGTGTAAGGTAGTCTGAAGGTCAAGCAACTTTGTCCGAGCATCTTTGAGTGCCATCTCCCCACGCTGCTCAGATTCTGCTATGGAAGAATGTAGGCCATTAACCTGAAAAATGAAAAAACACAAATGTCTTGTTTAGTCCCGAGCCATTAATCACCTGCTTTGACTTACTCACTCTCGCACAAACACAATTTGGCTTTAGAACCGAAAAGGCTGTCAGAAAATGACATAGATTACCTGTGTGTCAGATCACATTACTCAAATAATATGCAGAATCTGCCAACACCCCTTTTGATAGCACAGACCCCATTGAAATAGTCCAATGACATCAATTGCTTCTAGGCCACTGGTCCTGCTTCAATAGGATGGGCCATTTCCCCCCCCCCCAAAAAAAAACTGCCTCAAAGATGGGCTCCACCTAGTGGAGGGTTGATGCATAGGCCCCATGTCCCATCCCTTAACAGAGGGAGCAGGCATTGTCATCCCCCTCCACTTTGCTGCTGCTGCTTGCACTAGGTAAGGATGACATTCTTATTTGGGGAATGGGAAGAGGGAGGGGGCACTATGAAGACTAGAGGTTACCCAGAAGTACTGTGACTGTGTGGAGAAACACATTTGAAGCAGAAATAGTTGAAACAAAATGAAGCCCATACATAAATGAATACTGTGTGCACAGCTGGGAGCTTTTCAAGACACGGTTAAGGCCACGCCCATCAACCCTGCAGCATCTCACCTCCACATGTATGCATTTGCATTGATTTATTTATATAACGCCTTTCTCCCCACAGCTGGGACTCAAAGTTAGAACATCGTCCCCCTCCTCCATTTCCTCACAACAACAACCTTGCAAGGTAGGCCAGGCGGAGAGTTTGCGATGGGCCCAAGGTCACCCAGCGAGCTTCCATGGCTGAAGTGGGGATTCAAACCCAAGTCACCCAGGGTCCTAGTCCACCTCTCTATGTGCTACATCACACAAGCTCTACACTGTTGGTCCTCAGCCTAAAATGTAAGGGGAAGATTTCGATATGTGGGATTTCAGTATTCATGCAATGGCTGCTCTTGTTCTCTCTTCATTTATCTTG